AAAGTACTAAAAGGATACTTTTTTTTATTAGGACTTAAGTTGTTTTAAGTGATCTGAATATTTTTTTTCTCAACACAATAGACATGTAAATGTTAGTATACATGTACGACGTATGTACATGCACATGTACAGTATCCTCAGAAAGTTTATCATGGTTATACAAAAAACTTAACAAGAATTTTGTAAATATGCAAATTTAGCAATATATTATCATTATGCAAATTAATAATATGCAATACATTAAGATGTAATTATTACAATATATATCATATATTAAGTGTATTAGTATCTACAACCATAAGCAATAACTTCGGCAATATGATTTGGCATACTATTGATTAAATTCATGAAAATTGATGCGTCTAACATGTTCCATTCTTCTAAAAGAGCAATTTTCAATATTTCATATGTTCTTGGTGGTGGTCTTCATTGCTGAACATTATCTTTTAATATTTTCCAAATGTTTTCTATTGGATTGATATCTGGTGATTGTGCTGGCCATGAAAGATGTTGAATAATGTCAGATTCCATCCAATCTCGAGTATATCTTGACTGATGAATGGGAACATTATCATCTTAGAAGATTATATCATTTCCATAGTTGGCAATTAATTCACATCGAAAAGGTATTAAATTTTCATTCAATACTTCTACATATCTTTGTAAGTTTATTGCACCAACATCATTCCTTTCTCTCATAAAAGCCAATGGTCCTCTTTCCCTCCCTGTGAAACATCCAAATACCATTATACTTCTTCTCCCACTTCTAAATATTGACATCATATTACATGATTTATAATGGTTGTTATTTTTTCTTCATACGAAACTTCGTCATGAACAACTACCAATCTCAACTGATAATTCATCACTAAAAATAATCTTCTGTAAATCACTTACACTCTAGTTTGTATAGGCAATACACCAAGAGAGTTGCAATTCTGCCTGTCTTGGAATCAAACCTGGTTTCTTTGTAATTATACATCCCCAAATTCTATTTCTGTATAAGATGCTTCTTGTCATTACTTGTGAAATGTTAATTTCATTGTTACTCAATATTTTATGAAGAGATAATTTATTGTAATTAATTGTTGCATTAATAAGATTTTGTTCATCTTCATTAGTAAAGATTAATGGTCTTCCTGAATGTAAAGCAGCTTCAATACTTCCTCGCTCTCTAACCTGGATTAAGAATTTAGATACTGTAGTACAGTCATGACCTATTTCTTCAGCAATAGAAGTTAAAGTAACTTCAATATTATACATTCTAATAATTTGTCCTTTTTCAAAATCAGTTAAATAAGTATTTTTAGACATGGTTTAACAAAAGTAACTTATTGATAATAATGAAAAATTTTTTTGCTTTTCTTTTCTTTATTTATTGATAATGATTAATGACATGATATATAATGATTTCTTTCTTTTTCTTTATTTATCATATGATTAATGACATGGTAATGATTAATAATGCAATTGGCTTACACAATTTGCATATATTATACATTTGCATAAAATTTTTGTTAAGCTTTTTTATGTAACTATGATAAACTTTCTGAGAATACTGTACATTCATTGGGGTGTTAGGTAAATCAAAATTATATTGTCAGAAGTAAAACTGACACCTCATAAAACCTGCGAAATGGATGTCATTGTGGCATACTTATCTAATTAGAGGTGCCCATAATGATCCATCTGAAACATGTATGCCCAGACCCAAAGAAGCTATATGAAAGTACACAAGCCTCCATGCAGGACCTCACAACCCTTCCAATTAAAGTAAGGTTGACCTGGACCAACCTGTTATGCTGGGAATGGACATTGACTTCACCTACCTTACTTGGATTAGGTGTGAGCCGATGTCAAGGAAAGTGCGATTGAAGATAATATGATAGGTTCTGGTCCCAGAATAGTGAAACTGAAACATTTCTCATCGGTTCTATGAAGGCTGTGGGAAATGTTAAAGTAACAAAAGGCTGTGTGGAAGGGGTTAAAGGTTATAACAAATAAGATTGGGAAGTGTTGGGAATAATGAGAAGAGTCGTGGTCTTGCACGGGCTCTTCTTGCATTCAATTCATTATAAAAAGAGGTGGAATTTCCCCCTTCTAAGAGTATCACAGTATCAGAGAACAAGAGTTTCATCCAAGAGTTCAGAATAGTTCATAACTGTCCATAATAATATAATTGTATTGCCCCTACAAATATTAATAAAGTTAATAAAGCCCTTTTTAGCTTGTAAAATAAACCCACGTTCTTTTAAAATCGTAATACTCATCTTGTAACGCTCCCCATCGATCGACTTGACCAGTGCCAAATCGAAAACCTCCTCTACTATCCTTGAGGAACGTTACACAGCATAACCATTTTTCAAGCGACAATTCGTCGCATTTGCCCCATCTCTGAACCCGTCCATATAACCCGTCACAATATGTAGTACCATATGAAAATTAATTATTATTGGCTAACATTTGGCAGATCTACCCGTGATTATCCGTGATAATTAACCAATCAAATTACACAATTTTTATCTCAATTTATCGGTTTATACTATAGAAAACGAAAAAAAATTTCGTATAAAGAAAGCTTAAACTAATAAATGCGTCCAAAAAAATTATCTTAGAATATACATATACACTTAAAGTGGGTAAATGTGATATTTATTACGAATAAATCCGAATTCACTAAAGAATCTATAAGATATAAATCATCCCTTTAATTTACGGTTGACAAACACAAATACACTACACTACACTACACTACAATACACTAAAATACCAAACAATCACTAATCTAACTGATATAACCTAAGAGTATCAATTTAACAACGAACTCAAACCGAATACTGGACATAATAAACACTTAGATCTACACAAAAAGGCCAGTATGCTGCCAGATCTAACGAACCAATTTCTATAAAATCTAATACGCAAGGCTTAAAAGTGTTAATATCTATTCTTAATACAATAAATAAACGGCAATAAAAGTTCTTTAGTATGTAAAACTTACATCTTTCTGGCATTTATCGCTTAGATATAAATCTTATAATAACGAATAGTAAAATATTCGTTTCTAAGTGAAGTCCTCCAGGTTACTGATTATTTCTGATTATTTTGAATATTGAATGTTGGCTTTCTTCCGCACGTATAGATAGGTATTTACGGCGATTTTTTGTTAGTGAGACGTTGTTCCCAAAAGGCACTTTAAAGTGTATAAATAAGTTATCCAGCTAGAAGTTGGAACCGTTTTACTAATTCGGGATTATCACGTGAATGTAGTGATAATTTAGAAATTTATCCAATTAAATTAAAATTTAAAATATATCACAAAATTCATTGATAAACTCGAATTATTAAAACCAGTTCCAACACGTCACGAATGTCCTCCTATGAGAATACATCAGTGTGATTGGCTAGATCCATGCATGACCGTGCATGATAATTGACCAATAAAACCGCCAATTTACAACTAATGCTAAAATTAATGTGAGCAAATAACATAAGGTGTATTGAAGATATCTTACAATAATCTTCGATTGACCCTTTAATATTAATGTCTTACTAGGTTTTAAAAACAAATTCACCATTCAGAAATCTGACATTACTTATTACACAATACGCCTTCAGCACATTTAAGCGTTATTCGGCGTCTATAACGATTCAAACAATAAATTGTACATTAGAGAAATGACGAAAACATAAGTTTTGGAAAGTTTAGTCATTGACGAAACTTATGGTTTTGTTAGGTTTTGTCATTTCGTCAGGCAACACTATTGTACATGCGAATTATACATGTTGTTTTTCTTTATTACTGAAAGCCAAACTAAATATTTGATGTAAGGTAAAGTGGTAAAAGTTTGTACTAAATAAATTATTTTTAATTTTACCATATACTATAGAAATAATATTATTTGTAAACGTAAATGACCATTGTCATACTACGTCATGAAAGTATCATTATAAGTACAGTGCACCCTCCACGGGCCCAAATATATACATGATATCCGTAAGTGCACTTTTTCTTATTGTTTTCTAAGTGCACGTTGTTAACATTCGGTCCAAAGTGCATGCACTTATGGAGGTTTTACTGTGCAGAATTTATTCGTGCATAAGTTTTTTTTTCAACGAAAGTTATAATGAATAACTTCAAGATATTACAATTAAACGAAATAAATGGTGATAATTTAGTAATTGAAGAAATTATCGACTTTTCAAATCCTGCTTTTATTAATAACAATAATTCATACATTGAAGACATCAAATAACATGACTCAACGGTTGAGTTCAAGAAATAATAATTATAATCCTGTAAGTTTAATAGCTCGAATGTTAATGAAAATAGAATAATTAGGGTCAGGTTAAAATATCTAATGTGCAATTTACGTATCGATATGTATTTATGTATGTAAAAATTAACGTAACTCATTTATAATAATGATAAAGTATACGTAGCATATGCATGAGTTACAACACATAAAATAATTACGCTAAATACACACGTTAATGTAACTTAAAATACAAAATTTATTACTTAGTTACAATACGGCAAATCCTAATGACTTCAAAAGTTCAATTATGTTAGGTTAACCTTTTTATTAGAAAGTTTTTATTAAAGCACTAAAAGTAATTTCTTATGCAGAGTTTTGAGAAATAACAAAACGAACATTTGCTTTGATCGTGTCATATTAAATATTGAAATCTGATTCATAATTCAGGAAATCTGCAGTACACATTTTAGACGTGCTAATGCACATATCAATCGAGAAATATATTTTAAGGCAACAGTTTATAATCCAATCACTAATTGTAATCTAGACACATCGATGAACAAATGAAGAATTAAAAAAGATATTCAAATTTGGAAGTCAATTTAACTTAAAGTAAGCGTTAATTCGCTAGTTTACTGCACTTGTAAGCCTCAGCCAATCTAATTAGGAAGATCATTCTTTTAATAGGGTTCATCCAAAATGGGCATAAAAAAATTTCTATAAATTTACTAAATAGGAAAAATGGTACAACAATATGAGGCAAACCTTATCATTATCAATTTATCATTTGCATGTGGATGGAAACCACCTGATGGACATTGGACACCACCTGATGGTAAACTAATCCTATTTAGTACATTGAGTGTACTTTGATATTGAACTTCATGGAATCTGATTTATGCTAAACTATTCATTTCGTATGTTGTTCTCCTAGCCAGTCGTAAAAAAACTAACCACTACTATATGACATAGACATGTAGCCCGTCTGTATGTCACTTTGAAGATCTTTATTATTGAAAATTGAACCCTGCTATATCACATGAATAATTACTTTTCGAAAGCTTTTACATATTATTGTATTAATAACTATTATAAAATCCAAACATTTGCTTTATTATTAGAGACGAAACCCCACATAAACTATAGCTAAAATTATTATAGCGGATTAAAGTTTCACATAATCTAACAAGATAATTGGCAAAATTATTTTAGCGGATTAAAGTTTTTTTTAAAGCAAATATTGTATAGGTCTGTATTAGGTATAATCTACACATAATGTGGTCCCATGTGGTACGTACGTTATATTAAATTGTAATTTATAATGAAGCATATTATTCGAGTAGCATTCTGCAAGTGCCAAGCGTAGTGCTATTAAGCCGTAATTAGAATAGGACCGCAGGTTCATATTTTAATAGTACCATGTTCAGCACTTGTAAAACTACCAGTATCCCTTAAACGGTTTTCCTGGAATTTCACGATTTATCTGTGATTAAGCTATCAAATTATATTAGAATGTACTCTAAACCGTGTTATTGTACTAAATGCGTAGTTAAATTATGGTTTAAGGATAATTTCATAATAAGAACAGGGTGCAAGCTAAAAAAAGGTGAAACCTGGGATTCGGTGTCTAATATCCAAGAAAGAAGATTTCACAATGATATGTAATGTATAAATGATAACGTAATGTTCAAAACTGTATTTTATTTCACAGTCCGTAATAATTGGGCTGAGTAGTTGATACTTTCTTGACTGTATAAATTTCTCTAATTGTTTAACTCAGGCATTTATAAATACTTTTTTTTTGAATTTTTAATTGTATTGTTTGGTTACACCATCATAATATTAGAGAATGTAGGTGCCTAATTTAATATAAAATATTTTAGGTAGTGGTAACTACAGTAGCGATCATAAATAATGTAACAAAAATTTTTTTTTAGTTAGATCGAATTGTTTCACGCAATTTCGGGCGTATCTGTTAACTTTTATTTTATTTTATTCCTAAATACTATAGTTTTTAAAAATAAAAATTTTATTTTATTTTAATAATTAATGACCACTACTATTTGTCGCATTTGTCTCGTGCTATACTAACGTTCCAAATTTTGTTTTTTTCAAAGGGGTAAATCAAGTCAATACAGGTATCAATGCTGATTCCTGAAGATCTTCTTGCTCAAAATTGAAATAGTATGCAGATGGTCAACCAAAATCTAAAAAAAAAATTAATAAGAAAAAAAGTTAAAAAATAGGATGACTATTGTTATTATATATTTCTCTTATTATCTAATTAAAAAAAAATAATTTTGAGAATAACATATTCATAATATCTAATGTTATTCGTTAAGGAATTCGTATAATAAAATACAACTTTTTGATCAAAAATTTTTAGTTTTCATGCTCTTTTGTAAGTTCAGACCAACATTTTTGCTCATATTTACGTCGGTAGGATTTTTTTTTACTTAATTCCTAATATTACCCCGTAGTTTTGAAGTACAAAAAGAATAATAAGTTATTGAAACATAAATATCATTTTTTATTTTTTAGGTTAAACCATGCTTAAACAACAATTAAGCGACAATCGAAGATTATTTAATTTAATGCTCTTGTCTGGTTTTGCTCACACTTATAAGTAGACAACTAATTTTATTAATTCTTCACGAATGTGATGTACAGCAACTTTTATAAACAAAAAAAAAACTGTGAAGAAACTCCGATTTATTACTCGTGTGGCAAGCTACTTTTACAGCGAAGAAACTCGTTCTTTGGATTGTAGCATTTTCGTTTTTGTAGTACAGAGATGCAAGAATAACAATGAATTTACATTTTGATATTTACTTAGGTAATACAGTAGGAATCATTTGATCTCTGTCAAAAACGATCAAAAATAATGCAACACGTGACTTGTAATTTATTTTCGCATTGGTAATAATAACAGCTATTAAAATTTGGAATATTATATTCATAACACCTATGTAGTTTTAATTAGAGTTAAGGTCCAGCTTTAAGATAAATAGGTATTATTTTATTATACAATATATATTAGATATAAGGTCCCGATAGGTCCCGATTTCAGTTTTTGGGGGCCCTGAATATTTTTACTGATCCTGTTTACTTAGTACATTTTTGAGATATTACATAAGGTGTTATATAACATGGTGTTATAAATATAATCTTCCTTAAAATTTGAATATTTAAAAGATACTATTTATGAATAAAATAAATAAGGAATTGAAAAGAAAATATCTGGAATTGCGTGAAACAATTCGATCTAAAAAAAACTTTTTTTTTTCGTTGCATTATTTATGATTGCCACTAATAATAAAAACAAAACTAAGAATTAAAAATTTAAAGATCACCAACCAGTATAGCAAGTGTTCTTGGGGAAAGATGCACAAGATCTCGATCACTTAATTTAACAAACTTATTTGTACAGCATTAAAAATTGTAGTAAATTTAGTTGTAGAGTTTAATTGTAAAATAGCACTTAAAAAAAACCAAATGTTGCAACTTCGTTAAGGCTATATTATCATTTAGGTAAGTGGTAGTTATTGTATTATTGTATTAAAATGTATTACTATTCGGCCGGTTAACGCCACTTTAAAGCCGTTTTCCTTTTTTTCGGATAATGTATTGTTTTAAAATGTAGAAATAACTTTTATAGTATTAATTACAGTTTGTGTGACAGTAACCTATTGTTTCAAAGATTATCCATCAGTCCACAATGTCAGCAAGTTGTCTTAATGATCAATGAACGACAATGACGATTAGAAACAAACAAATAGTCTGTGACTTGCTGATTTTGGTTTACAAATAAGGTGGATCACAAACTTAAAATGTAAATATTAAACTATTTTTTATATGCCTATAGTCCTATCTTTTTTATATATTTATATTGGTTAAAATTTCTAAAGTGGAAAAATCAGTGCAGAATTAAATTTGAGCACGATGAAATTTGGTAAACTGCTTCAAACTGAATCAGTGCCCGAGTGGAGAAAAAAGTAATTAAGTACACTTATAACTACTTATAGTTAATTATTAACTAAAATAAACATCAATTTTATTTTTTTATATTGAAAAATAAGATACATTGATTATAAAGGTCTAAAGACGAAGTTAGAAAAGGTTCAGCAATCTCATTATGTAGAACCAGGATCACCAACCACTTTTTTTGGATCTATAAGCAGTGTTTGCGACTCACCAACTACTTATGAACATTCAAACCCTTTTCAAAGTTTTCTCACCATTAAAGAGGAAGAAGTGATTAATGAGAAATCAAGTCTTGAAATTATCAAGCCTAATCTTTCTGATCCTGTAAGACCTCCGGTCACTCCACTGAAGATCAAAATAAATTCTTTTCGACGGGCTCGTTCTATGCTCACAAGACCTTCTCTATTAACAAGCAAATCATGTAAATATTGACAGCTATTTTTATGTCACTCTATGTTTCTTATTATTATATAAATATATATATTAAATTATTTTAGGCCAAAGACTTCCAATAATATCAATTGATACGATTGTAAATCAATTAGAACCTGATGAAATAGCATTTTTTGAGGCTTTGGACTTTGAATTAAAAAAAATTTGTGAATTTTATGAAGGTAACCAAAATCTACATGTTTTATGATTTAAAAAAAAAAAAAAAATCTTATAAAACTAATTAAATTTTGCATCTATTTGTAATAGAAAAAGAATTAAATACTAAAGAGCATTTCAAAAAAATATACCAAGCATATGAAGATTTAAAAGGTTTGAAAAATGACAATCAATCAAACTCGGTATTATTTATTAAATCATATTTTGAAATTAATTTAATTGTGATATTTTATTCACATTATTATTATTATTATTATTATTATTATTAGACTCGTAATGATTGGGCTTCCAAATTGTTTAAAGATCGCGATAATGATAGTCCTGTCATATCCAACAATGAATCTTCAATTGCAATTGATTATAAAGACGCAAAGAAAAGAATGAAAAAAGCTATTTGTGAATTTTACCGAGGCGCAGAAATGCTAAAGAATTATCGAGTAATGTTTAATTTAAATCAATTAGTTATCCTATTTTAAATGTTTATTACTTATAAGTTGTTGTTAAAACTCGTTTAGAATATTAATTATGCAGGATTTAAAAAGATTCTTGAAAAATTTGATATGGTAAAAATCCAAAATTTGTCGTTAAAATTTGTTTTCATTCATAAACTAATACGTAATTTTGTTTAGATTACGAGGCTAAATGGAAGTGAAATTTATATGCAAAAAGTAGATAAAAACAATTTTGTAAAAAGTAAAAAATTGGATACATTAATGAGAGACACTGAGGTATTTAATTCTTAATAGTTTTTTTCTTTATATATTTTATAAATCATATGTTGATTGATAAGTTTTATCTTGTTAGTATATCTATACCAAACTTTTTGGTGGTAATTCTCGATCACACGCTATAAAAAAACTTAGAATTCCTAATAGAAAGCACAAGGTAAACAAATAAATTCAGATCCTATTTTTAAAGGGATGAATCTAATTGTAACATAATACATGCTTATTCGTAACAACATACTTACGCAGTAAAGCCAATAAAATGACTAAAACTTCATGTAACCTAAACCTTAATTCTAACTACTATTGGTTAATACGAGGTTGCTACATGTAACAGGTTGTTACGAATACATCTATTCTTTTTTAAATATATGGAATACTAAAAAAATTTTCTTTTTTTTTGTAGACTTATTACCTTCCTACAATACGGTCAGGAATATATATTGGCTTAGCAGCTCTTTCGTTATACAATACCTTAAAACTTGGTAATTTGATGTATTTTTTTGTTTTTTTTTCACCTCACTTCTGTATTTGTTAATATTAATGTATATATAAATGCGCACTTAATATAATTAGTAATTGGATCTGAAGGCGGAATTCAACAATTACAATTTTATTGTGGAATGATTCTCCCAATGATACTTTTGTTGATTATAGGTGTTGCCATGTACATTTGGACAAAAATGCACATTAATTATAAGTTCATATTTGAATTTGATCCGAGAAATAATTTAGATTTTCGTCAATATATCGAGGTAATTGCTATTTATTATATTGCTAATATTTGTCACCTTTTTTTTTTTTTACGAATTTCTCTTTTATTATAAATAGATTCCATCATTTTTTCTTTTGGCAGTTTGTTTCGCGGCGTATTCAGAGGTTACAAATATGTTTGAAATTCCGAGACCCTATTACTCCTTGATTTTAGTACTTGTAATGCTTTCCATTGTTCTTTGTCCTTTTCGAATATTTTATTATAATGCAAGACGTTGGTTTATTTACAGTCTGGTATAATATCAATATTTTATACACTCAAAGCCCATAGTTGGTGGTAGAATTAATTTGGTAATTTGATGTAATTTTTTTTGAGCCGTTATGCCGTAATACGTTATAGCATTCATATAATATTTACGGCAATTAGATACGTACTATGCCGTAATTAATTCTACCACATGGTAGAATGCCGTAATTCAGTAATTCTACCGCCATCTATACTCAAAACCTATCAATTAGAATTAATAAGATTTTTTAATTATTGATAGGGTCGTATGGTTATATCACCTTTTCTCGGTATTGAATTTCGAGATTTCATTTTTGCCGATCATCTTAATAGCTTGTCTTATTCTTTGGTTACTTTACAACTACTTCCTTGTTTCGCATGTAAGTTTTATCATTGGATTTTTTTTCGGGTTATTTTTAATTTATAATTAAATTAAAAAATTTTGATTTTATTTTAGCACAAGAAATTTGTTATTTGCCAATCTCAATAACACCACTCGCACCAATTTTGGGCTCTTTTGGTTCTGCAATGAGAGGTGTTCAATGTATAAGGCGTTATTATGACACTCAAGCACTAATACATCTAGGAAATGGGGGCAAATATGCATCCATGGTGGTAACTATATTTATGATCTTTTATTGGAGATATACAGGTCAATATTAAGAATTAATATTTTTGCATTTCAAATCTCATTAAAATAATCTAAAATTTATAAAAACAATTTTTTTTATTACGAAATAGTTGCTTATTATGCTGATGATAATAATAAGATCCTTGTTTCTAAAATTCTCTATATAGTTGTACAAATTATTAGTACTATTTATGCTAATATATGGGACATATCTCAAGATTGGTCATTATTACAATTCGATAGTTCAAATTTTTTGTTAAGAGATGAATTAGGTTATAAACAGAAATGGGTTTACTATCTTGGAATGTTTAACAATACATTTTTCAGGCTTACTTGGATTTTATTATTTATCTATGATAATTTTTTCATCCGATTCATGATTGCTTTTGGTGAAATGCTTAGGTAACAATTTATTATTATTATTATTATTAAGATTTGATTAATCCTTTATTACAAAGATTTTGGTTATTTAAAAATTACGATTATCATTATTTATTTTTAAATATATAGACGTTGGCAATGGGATGTTTTCCGTGTTGAAAATGAACATGTTACAAATTGTCAAGCAGAACGTGCAACTAAAGAATTAACGTTACCAACAATTTTTGATTCACCTACCACAGAAAAAATACAAGTACAAAAAAGTCCAATATCACCAAAAATGACTAGGCTAAACTCATGGAGAGATTTTCAACCAAGATCAGATAAAAGTGAAGACGCCTACACTCAAAATGACGATGATGATGATGATGATGATAATGATGATGATAATGATAATTTTGATCTTGATGATGATGATGGTTGTGAAAAAACCAGGCCCCTAAAAATTATTACAAAAAATAGTTCGGATTATCAAAGAAAAAAAGGCGATGAAAAAAAAGACGATAATATTACCTTTGGATCCCATAAAAAGTTAACAAAAGCGATAGATCACGTTGAAATTCATATCGAATGATTTTTATAGCTAATTAAAAAAAATTTTATAGTATACATTGTTAGATTTAATTAAATCATAGCATTTATATTTAATAATTGTCGACTCGATTGAGTCATTTCTAACCAATCAAATAATAAAATAAAATTTTAATGTACAGTAGACACGTGTTTATTGTAATCTAAGATTGTATAAAATAAGTATACCATATTGGCGAATAAGCTCATACTAATATACTTCTATACTATTTAATATAAATAAATTCTACAATAATAGTGTTACTCAGTTTCAATGAATCCGAAATTCTGGGGAGTGCACTGCAAAAGATATTGTCAGAGGTAAAACTGACACCCCATAGAACCTGCGAAATGGACGTCATTGTGGCATACTTACCTAATTAGAGGATATTGTAATTCCGGAATCGGCGATTCGGTTGCTACTCTAATCCAATCTTCGCGTAACCTACGGCGGCTAAGTCGAAATAGGCGTGTTAGATTTGGCTGGGTGGTTTATCCGTAGGTAAGTACTATTCTTCTCTTCTTTCTAAGTCCTTCCTTTAAATTATTCTTCTATTAACCCTTGCCTTCTCTTGTCCTCTCTTTACTTCCTTAACGCGGGGTTACGATACGTCGAATCGGGGTTGGAGTCCTTCTCTTCGTTTAACGGCTTGGTCACGTGACTTACGGCGAACGAACAAATGCTGTTCAGTGGTTTACGGTCGAACGATAGGGATAACGGGGAGGATTAACGATAGTTTTCAGTTTGGGTGAGATTATAGTTTTACTTTCAACATGGGTCCGATATTTAAGTTTATTATGCGAAATGTATTGACTTGGGGGTTTCGTCCATACTCTTTACTTCCCCCCTGGGCGGAAAGCCCTTTATTTATAATAAAACTTTTATTTACATTCAAGGATTATTTCCACTACATTATCTATTTACAATATAACATTCTTAAAACCCCTTTTCCCACTATGATAACTAAAAACTGAATGCCCCATATACCATCATTCTACCCGAAGTAATAAATGTAATAAAAATAGCAAAAGTAATAAAAGTAAAAAAAGTAAGATAAATCTTACTTTCATGTGACCAATTACTCGGGTAGGCGATGGGTCCTACTGTGGTGCGGCAAATCGGCGAGTCTGTCGCTAATTCCTTCCAATTCTCGCGTAACCTACGGCGGCTAAGTCGAAATAGGCGTGTTAGATTTGGCTGGGTGGTTTTATCCGTAGGTAAGTACTATTCTTCTCTACTAAGTCTTTCCTTCAACCTGTTCTTCTATTAACCCTTGCCTTCTATTCTCTGCTCTTGTATGACTTAACCCGGGCT